CGAAACTTTCGGCCCGGGGATGTATCATTGTTCCGTCAACTTTCAACAAACCCGCCACAAAAACCCATGGAACGCTCCAACGAACCCTCGATAGAGGCCCTAAACCCTGGCCTCGAAACTTTAAACGAACTGCTAAACCCAAGAAACGCGTTGAGCGACAGAGTCCTCGAAAGGCTTCGGGGGATCCACTCGCCGGCCGGCTGAGTCACTCCTTTAGGGCTGATGGGTTTCATAGTTTAGGGAGTTTAGGGCTTTTTGTGCGGGCAGTTATGAGTCTGTTCTCTTTGTAAGACTCCTTCCATGCTGTTCAGATCGTCAGCTGCTGGGCAGGTTAGCTTCAGCTAAACGGGCTTCCGGGTGCCTCAGGGTCTGAAGCATCACCTAACAGCTTCCAGACGTGCTCCCCGCTCCCAGCCCAGAAGACAAAGGTTTGTCACGGTGCTTGGGAGCTGGGATCGTCTGCCTCTGCCTACCTACCTGCCGTTCAGGGTTGTGCCTATTGTCTGTCATGGCCTACAGCTTTCCATGGTCTGAGACACCTAAAGCAGCTGGGGCCACAGCCACGGTGGAGGATCCCACAGGCGAAGCCGGCGGGAGGTAAACCTCCGATATACTCACAAGAACAGAGTTTCGTGGACTCGAACTTGCACTTCTTCACGATGTTTAGTGCTGCTCAGACATGATGCATGTGACCAAGGAGCTTGCTCGGTCTTGGTGGGTGAGGATGAATTATTAAGCCCGTTTGGATTTTGACCACCAGGGAGCAACAGTACTAGCCAGTATGACAACAAGTAGAAGGCTCACAAATGCTTATGATGCGTCAGCTGGCATGTCAACTCTCGCGGTTGCTTTGTTTGCCACTGTCCTGATTATGACCATCATGGTTGGTTTTTACTTGTACGACTTCTGTAAGGAATGCGAAACTTGGTCATGCGCGCCCCAGGACCCTGGCGGTTAGGTGACGCGTGAATATGCTTACTTCCTAGTGGAAAAACAAGGTTTTGGAGAGACCCTAAAACCATTACTTTTCAGAGAAAATGCTGGATTTTGCAGTTGATGCATGGTCTTAAGGCATCTTCGCAAACAACACGAACGCTTGTGACAGCATAAACTAGCCCGTGCACTCTGTTGTGGGAAGAACAAAGGGCCGTGAATACCAGCATTTAGGATATGTTGGCATATATTCGCGACAGTCCCGAATGCTCGCGGCAGTGCATCTTGTTCCAGACACCTCCAACATCATGCCGAAGTATGTTGCACAAAGAGGAAAGAATGCTGTAAATACCTGTGTTTTGCTCATACCAGACATGAACGCTTGTGACAGAGCGCCTTGTTTCAGAAGTGTCAAACATACTGTTGTTTGCCGTAATACCGGTGTCGTAGGCATATTCCCAAAGAACATGAATGCTTGAGAGAGTGCGCCTTTTCCAGAAACATCAAACATCCGTTTGCACTGTACTGTGCCGAGGCAAGAAAGCTGCAGCTACCAGAGTTCTAGGCATGTTTACGCAAGACATGAACGCTTGTGAGAGCGTGTCTTGTTCGAGAAACGTCAAACATCCTTTTTGCATTATGTTGTGCAAAGGGCGAGAACACCGCAAGTGCCAGTGTTTTTGGGCATGGTCGTCGTAGGAACGGACGTTATCACCCACCCACCCACCCCCACCCCCACCCCCAAAGAAAAACCTACCGCGCACGAGCCCCTAGCAGGTTAACACCAGGGTCTCGGGGCGCACGTAACCAACTACTGGAAATCTGTGAACGAGGCTACGAGCATGCTGATTGAAATGAAGACAGTGTTGATGACTGGGATGACATAAAGGCTACGACTGCAAAGGAGGATGTTTACAGGTCACTTGGTTTGGGGCTGCTGTGTTGGCCATCCTGCAAGCCTTCAGGATTTGTGGACGACGTTCGTGCCTGCCAAGCACCAGGCGGCGCTCGTTCTCGTAGCGCTCCTATGAAGTGTACACGGCTTGGTCTCTCGGATGGGCTGTAGATGGGGCCTAGCTTTGACGAAGGCTAACATCAATGCTTTCGGGAGAGATGGGGTGTGGATCCCCTCTCCCTCGCCCCAGTTTTTAGAAGTTCAGAAGTTCAGTCATGTATATCTGTCCGTATATACATGCGCGTATGAACAACCTCCGTCCTTGTTATGCCCATCATCATCATCATCACCACCTTCACAACCAGCATTAGCATTAGTATGATTCTTAGTAATGGTAACAGCAAAAGAATTTCCAATAGTACTAGTAATTATATTGGTATGGGTATCAGTATGAGAACTAGCACTAGTATTTAGTATTGGCATCACTACTAGTATTTGTGTTGCTGTTGTTCGCGCTGCCAGGCATATCATAGCCTAGCATGGTCACCATCACCAGAAGGACTCGAATGACTGTGGATGAAAGTCCCCAGGTGCAGCCTGGACCTCGGGCGGCCCATCTTCCGTCAAAGCCTCGCTTGGAAGATTCTTCACGCCTGGGTGTCAGCGAAGGCTTGGAGTGGCGCAGGCTGGGAGAGTTCCTGGCCTATATCTAGCTATCTTGATCTTGGGGAGTGCGGGTTTATGTTACTACCCTAAACCCGAAACCCTAAAGTCTAGACCCCTAAACCCTGAACCCCTTACTCCACCCTCCCAATTCCTTACTCCAAAGAGACTGCAGACTGACCCCCAGCTCACATCCTCGTCAAGCCCGGGAGCTCTCTGCGGAGGCGAGGGAGCAAGACCGCATGCTACGCGGTTGGGAGCCGGAGCGCCGGCTGCACCACGACTCCTCTAAGCTTTCAAGGATATATCGCAGCTGTTGCTGTTTGCTAGAGCTAGAATCCGTCAAGGAAACGCAGCGAAGAAGGCACACTGCAGCCACTCCTCCCACCACTGCTCCCATGAACCGCAATAGCGCTGCAGAACAGGATGATACCTGAGTCCCAGCTCGCCGCCGAGGCTGATAATCCAAACTCACCATCAAGATTGGCTCAACTGGAACTCACGATGGACGCTTCGATGTTCAGACGTGGCATCTGCAGCCAAGGCACCACAGCACCACACCGAGGACAACCAGCACCACGACAGGCAAGACGTACTCATGAAAGAATCCTGGCTTCACCATGCCAAGCTTGTTATCATTCAATTGACTCGTTGTTCTTTAGAATGGCGCTCTGATTGCATGTGTGTTTTGACGAAAACCCCACCGATCTGGATGGTCAGCGCAAGGAGGCACAGCAGCGTCAGCAGCGGGCTGTCCCACTGTATGATGCGACGGTACTCCATGGAGAGACTGCGGGAGGTGAAGCAGTGGTTCCCGAAGCGGCTCGAAAACACCTCGAACTGCTGCATGAAGGCTTCCAGCTCCCGGAACTGCTCCCGGATACTCTTGTCACCACCGACAGTCTGCCAGGCCGTCGTCGCCTGCTTGCTGGGCCGCGGCAGCAACAGAGCCCCCAAGCTCTGATGGAAGCCCACCTTCCCAAAGCTGCATCCGTCTCTTTGTGTCTGTCTGTCGACGTGTCAGACCTACGTGTAACCAACGCACGTATACGTGTGTATATCTGCATGCATGCATGCGTGCATGCATGTATAACAATAATAATAATACTAAGAGGAAGAAGAAGACTGAAGACTAAGACTAAGACTAAGACTAAGACTAAGACTAAGACTAAGACTAAGACTAAGACTAAGAATAATGGTGTGTATATATATATATGTATATATCCAATCCAAATGAAGAAACGAAATACATCGAAAGACAAGCAGATCGTCATTTGTGCACAACTAAGCATACGGCGGACATACACGAAGACACAGCTAACGAGTCCGCTACATCCGGAGTTCTATCTTCAGACAGCAGAAAACGAGTTCCGTTCTTCCTCTTCAGAATGTTATGTTGAACCCCAACAACCAAAATGGCAGCTCGGTCCCATCAGCTCCAGACTCTCAGACTGTTTCAAAGCCAAGAACAAGCATCGAGTATCTACTATGGGTCCCCATGATAATAGTTGAAATTCAACTCCTCAACAAGAACCCCTGGCAAAGCTCCAGGGTGTCAAAGCAGAGCCCACTTTACTCTCCGCCTCCAGCCGCACAGAGCCAACCTGGCTGCCCTCGCCGCGCGGCCGGTGCAAGTCCCGCACCGGAAGCTGCAGCTCTCTCATGCCTCCCGACGCCGTACTCAAACTTTATTAAATCACATTTTGGTTTAGGGTTTGTGGGTTTTGGAGTTTAAGGCAGGTGCCAAAGGCTGAAAGGCCTGCTTCTGCATCAACCTGGCTGCACCGAGGAGGCTCTAAGGCAACAGCCCCCGAATGTTGGACCGTACTTGCACATCATTGGCTAGACCCAACTGACTACAAGAAGCCCATAGGGTAAGGTTTAGGGTTTAGGGTTTAGTAGCCGCACAATCCTCAAGTCTTCTGCCCAGCTGCAGTTCCTCCCCGCGCAATAGAGCGGCACATCCACCCGACCACGCAAAGCACCACGACTGCGACCATCAGAGCTCCACACCTCCACCTGGTGGCCACTTTGAGCTGTGGCACATAGCATAATGTACTATAACGTACTATAACATACTGCAACATATACTGTACTACACTATACTACACTATACTACACTATACTACACCACACGATACTATACTATATTTTATTATTTTATACTATACTATACTATACTATACTATACTATACTATCCTAGACTCGACTCTACTATACTTTACTTTACTAACCTATACTATACTATATTCCGAAATAAGATAAAAGACTATACTATAACAAGTCGTTCTTTTGACTTGTCTCAAACAAAACATGGGCAAGGGATGACGCCGCAATCGAAGACACCTGGATCAGTGCATCCGGGTCGTCGTCCTGCGTCGCTGTGTTTCGTAGCCCGGGTTCTACTGTGGACAGGGCAAACTTGTTCAGGTGTGCTGTAAGGAGTTTTTTTTCAAGAGGCTGTTTTTCGACCGTTTCACACGTCTTGTCGGCACCTCTCAGAACCTGCCGTCCTCCAGAGGGAACTCCAAGGCCTCCGTGAAATCCCCGGAAGCGTCCAGCTGCCTCCGAGGTAGCGTGCGGGAAGCCATGCCACAGCCTGCAGAGAGCTTCAAACGAAATCTTGCCTTGTCTGCAGACTACGTGCTAACAGTACTAGTACCTTTCTAAAAACCCATAAAAGCCCTTAGAATACCCCTGACATCCCCTGACAAGTTTTTGGAATGCGCAAGCTCCGTGTCTTGGGAGCCTACAATAACCCTGAGTAACAGCAAGGCTTGAGCAGACTTTGAAGGATTCATATGCACACGTTAAGAACAGTAAGTGGGGAGCAATTGGAGGCCAACATACCTCTAGCATTCCGGCTACAAACACACGTCAAACGTTTGCACCTGCCTTCAATCCTGAATTCCGACGGCTCTACGGCCGCAGAGATTTGCAAGCTTACCACCACCAGCACAACCACCGCTACTATAACTCCTTGTTAGCAGCCACTCTATACCTGACACCTGCACTCGTGAAGTTACAATGCAAGTCCCGGCTGCAGGCAACGACACAGAAGAGCGGTGGGCTCGGGACCTTAACTTGAAACAGGTTCCAACCAGATGCAAGTTGAATCGCTAGTTTGCCACATGTTTTGCTTAGGCGAACTTCTTCCTTCTTTTGACTGTGCGATGCTTGTCGGGTTCTCTGTCGTTCCCAGGCACTTCGTCTATGGACTCCTGTTGGGTCAGGAAATGGAAGTGCCACTGCGCTCGCTCTCCTGGCATTACGACGGTCCCTTGCAGCCTGGTTGTTTCAATTGCTTTCGAACTGCCGGCATGGCATGCTGGATCTCTGACCTCTCGCTTTATCTCTGACTCCGTCTATATCTCTGCTTCTTCTACAGGGCACTCCCTCTTTCTCTGCGTCTTTTTGTATTGCTTTGCTTCGGGATGGAGGCCGTGAGGAATCCTCTCTGTCTTGTCTCTTCTCTCTGTCTGTACAAGGGGGAAGGCACGAGACCCCTCTTTCCGCGCGCGAACGCGCACCCGCAAGTCTCAGCGGGGTTTTAAGCATCCCCCAAGAAGGTTGCCTTCGAGAGGCTCGGCTCTGCAAAGGCCCGAAAGTGGAGTCCCCGAACAGGGGAAGTTATGCAAGTAAAGGCCAACTTACAACACGAGACTCCCCCTTCTGCACGCATCTCAAAGCTGCAGCTTACCATTTCTCAATTTCACAACACAGCAAAAGGCTTACATGGTACCCCCAAAGGACTACATCCACTGTTGCAGTAAACTGAGGCTCTGGCCACCATGTGGTGCTTTCTGAGGGCTGACGTACTGGTACAAGTATCTTGTCCCCCCAGAACGTTGGGTGGTTGGTATGATGGTGCATATCTCGGCCAGATGAACTATCGCTCTCTGTTCCCCCGGTTGGAGTTCGGACCGCTGAAGGGCTTTAGGAAGCTGTAAGCAGACCAACATGACAGCGGTACTCCCCTCGGGGTTGCTTCGAGCTAATGTTTCGAGGAATTGTTGAATACTGACCACAGCTATGCAGCGAGTATTACAAGTCTAAAGCGAAGTGCCGAGGGGCGAAATAAAGCAACACAAGTACCACAGGATATGGTCCGAGGACACAGGACCTTACCTACGGCACTTTGACTAGTTTTTCGCATACTGTGCTTTGTTGTTCGTCAGAGGCTTCCCCCGGCTGAGGTGACAGGGAAGTACAGAAGTAACTCGTTCAAGGGCCACCCCGTGACGTTGTTGATGTACTCCCCGGTGGTTCTGTCTTGGCGTATGCTCATGCCAATCCACCTGTCCAAGGCACTGGGCTCATATAGTAGTACTCCCCCCTGTTCTGTTTCGAACCTGACATACTCAGAAAAAGGTAGGCTTCCCACTCTTCTCCCATCATCAGCTTGTGTGGCCTCGGCTTGTTTGGCCACCGTCTTCTGGGTGCCGTCCCCCTCCAAGTTCTTGCGTAGGTCACAAGGTCGGCTAGCGCTGGTCAGCTTCCCGGTGGCGACCTGGTGCTTGTAGGGTTTTTGGTAGAACGGGCCATCCAAGCACGCTCGGCAAGTAATGCCTAAAGCTCGCAGTCTCTCAGCAAGGCGGCAATGGTCATGGTCTTTGCCGCCTTCGTCGTGGGACCTCGGTGGCTTTGGTCCACCTGCTGTCCCCCCTTTGTTCCGGGGCCCTTTTGGGTAGTGCTGCAAGATGGGTTCCTCGATTTGATAGTATGCCTCCTCCCCCTACTGGCGGGCCACCCTTCCCGAGGGAGGGGGCCGCGGTCGGGTTCAGAGGGAGGAAAAGGACGACACGGGCCACTTAAGCGAAATGCCTGCGGCAGAGGGCTCAAGCCTTCCCCCACTCAGAGGCACGTCTACCAAGTGGATCTGCTGGGGACAGCCAGCAGACCCTCGAGTGCCCCACAAGGGAGCGGCAGGTTGACTTGAGCC